GGATGGATGGATGGATGGATGGATGGATGGATGGATGGATGGATGGATGGATGGATGGAAGATATAGGCAGACAAATATAGAGAGATGATAAAGATGCTAGAGATAAGCGATATGTAGATAACAGAGATAGATGGTAGATAGATAAATGATAGAGATGGATGATAGATGATTGATAGATAAGATAGAGAGAGAGAGATAGACAGACAGACAGATATGATAGAAGAAGGATGGATGGATGGATGGATAAAGGGAGGCAGACAGAAAGATATACCTGGAGAGATGATAAAGATAGCTAGAGATATGAGATAGATAGAAGATGGGAGATAGAGATAGGGAGATAGATACAGATGATACAGAGAGATGATAGATAGACATAGAGAGATAGGAAGATACAGATAGATACTAATAAAAGAAGGGTGAAGTTGATAAGTCTTATAAAAAGAGTCTCAGGTGGGACAAATATTAGGGAAAGGTATACTTTCCCTCCTTGAGTTACAACTGTTAGTTAAAACCCCTCATCTGTCTCTTTTAAGAATGCAAAATATTATTCTGACTATCTTTCCAGTTATACAAATAGTGAAACTAGCATTTAGCATTGTCTTTTCTTACGGTTCTGGATGCCAGTTAGTTAGGAGTTATTTCTGACCGTTCAGGTAATACTACATGCAGGAGACTATTATTTTAGGACGCAATTCCTTCAAGGCCCAAACGGCCTACCTTTGTATCGTGTTGATAGAGCAAGCCACGACTCTGACTGGTACGGAAGCTAAAACCAGTGTAGAAGTCTTGCAACGGGGGGACGTTCCTCAGCGAGAGAGTCAAGTAGCCGGAGCCATGAAGTTTCACTGAACGAGCCACCTGGAAAAGGACAGGTGCAACACCCAATGAAGTGGGGTTTCCTTAGACCGAACAAAAAAAACCCCAAACCCCGGGGCTACCAAAAAGAACAGAATGGTTAGCTATGATGCCATGACTGCCAAAACCGTTTGTGGATTTTCTACGTGCTAGACACAATAACAGATGGTTTTTGAAGATGCGTTTAATGATCTATCTGTCTGTCTGTCTGTCTATCTATCTATCTATCTATCTATCTATCTATCTATCTATCTATCATCTATCCATCCATCCATCCATCCATCCATCTATCCATCCATCTATCTTGGTCGGTCTGTCTGTCTGTCTATCTATCTCGGTCTGTCTGTCTGTCTATCTATCTCGGTCTGTCTGTCTATCTATCTCGGTCTGTCTGTCT